GTTTATACCAGTGTAAGAATCACTGGGAGCCACTGGAGAAGTCTGCTTACCACACAGCAAATAGCTGACACCCTAACACAGAATGCTTGGTGCTTAAGCAGTTTGTGTCTCCTCATCAAAAAGGCTACTCAGAGTGAATATGAGGCAGGATCCTCCAATGCCACGTACCCCACCCTGCATGTCCATAGGGTGCCCAGTTTTCTCCACTACAGAATAACAGAAGGAATGGGACTCATGTCTTCTCTTTACTTGCTAACATTAAATTGAAAATTTCCCAGGTAGCCTGTTTCTTAACTTACAGCATATGATATGGTTTTTCACCTGAGTCCTGTTGAACAACAGGAAGTGACTCCAAAGGGACCTGCTTTGCATTGCAACAAAAAAATTAAGATACTTAGGAATAAACTTAACCAGGAGATAAAAGAACTGTATTCAGAAAACTACAGGACGTTGAAAAAATAGAGGAAGATATAAATAAGTGGAAGGATATACCATGTTCATGGGTTGGTAGAATAAACATCATTAAAATATCCACACTACCCAAGGCAATCTACAGAATCAATGCAATCCCTTTTAAAATACCAAGGGCATATTTCACAAATCTAGAACAAATACTCCAACAATTTATATGGAACCAAAAAAGGCCTCAAATAGCCACAAAACAAGTTTCAATAAATTTAAGAATGAAATCGTATCAAGTATTGTCTCTAATTACAATAGTGTGAAATCAGAAATCAAGTACATGAAGGAAATTGAAAAACTCACAAATACATGGAGGCTAAATGACACACTATGAAACAATGAATGGGTTAACAATGAAATCAAAGAAGAAATCAAATGATACCTTGAAACAATAAAATGAAAATACAATGACCCCAAATCTGTGAGACAAAGCAAAAGCAATTCTAAGAGAGAGCTTCTTAGCAGCACAGGCCTACCTCAAGAAAAATCTGAAATAAACAAACTTACACCTAAAGGAACTAGAAGAACAAAAACAAACAAAGCCAAAGTGAGTAGAAGGAAGGAAATAATCAAGATCAGCATAGAAATAAACAAAACTCTAAAAAAATAATACAAAAGATCAATAAAACCAAGACCTGGTCTTTAAAAAGATAAAATCGATAAAACTTTACCCAGACTCATAAAGAAAAAAAAGAGGATCCAAATAAATAAAATCAGAAATGAAACAGAAGTGACATCACTGGAATACAAAAGATTATAAGATAACTAGTGGCCCAGTGCACACATTCGTGCACATTGAAAGGAAATTAATTAGAAGAAATATTTTAATATCATTATTCGCTCTCTCTCTATAATAGAAGTGTCAACCTAATTCATGATCGACAATGACAGATGGAAACACATGCATTCAATTGGCACCAGCAAGAGCTTCATATATATCGTGCATGCACGAGTCAACTTAGCCTTTTATCCTGCAGCCAGGGCAGGGTGCCGCCCGCAGGCCGCACTTGCCTGATCGCAGGTCCCCGCGGCAACCTGCGAGCAGGCCCTACTGGGTGCTGCCTGCTGTGGGCGCTTGCCTGCTTGCCAGTCGCCAAGGCAATACCTGCTGGGCTCACGTTGCCAGGGTGACGCTGCCAGCGTCCTGCCCTAGCCGCTATGGGTGCCGCCACCTTTGTTGCAGAGTGATGGTTAATTTGCATATTACTCTTTTATTAGATAGGATAAACTTGCTTAATTAGACCTGCTTTCTGATTGACACTTTTTCCAGCCTAGTGAAGCATCCCAACTTCTTTTTCAGGTAATTTCAAGGTCTACCATTTCTTTTCTTTTTTAAATATATTTCTTTATTGATTTCAGAATGGAAGGGAGAGGGAAATAGAGAAACATCAATGATGAGAGAGAATCATCGATCAGCTGCCTTCTGCATGCCCCCCACTGGGGATCGAGCCCACAACCCGGGCATGTGCCCTTGGTTGCATGGGCCATGAAGTTTCAATCGCACTGTACATACGTACCCGCATGTGGTATTTTGTGGAAGAACCACACTCAAGGGGCCAAAGAGCCGCATGTGGCTCGCGAGCTGCAGTTTGCCGACCACTAGGGTAGGGCAAGGTCCATCATTTCTGACTTCTTTTCAGTCGGGTCAAATTTCTAAGCTTTCTAAATCTCCATTTTCCAGACAATGAAAAGAAAATAGGATCCCACCGAACCCTCCTATCTACCTAAACCAGGACTTCTGTGAGGATCAAATGAGATGAGGCACAGGAAAACACTTCACAGACACTTGGTTAAAGTGTAAAATGTTTCCACCTGTGTTCTCGGGCTGAAGAAACCGCAGAGGCTAGTCGTCACTAGGAAGAGGAAGCTGGGCGTTGCTATGTCATTACCCAGCGCCCACAGTGACCATTTCTGGGCTGGGCTGTGGGTTGCATTTTGCACCACAGGGTCTCGGCAGTGTTGGCTGCGATTTGGTGGGGTGTCGCTCAGGGTGGTGGCAGAGCCTGTGTCCCACTTGGGGGATGCTCAGTGATGCTTTGTCAGCGCCAGGTCCGCAGTGCCGTTTCTCTGCGCACATCACAGCAGCTCCTGCGTTGAGCATCTGCCCCCCGATGGTCACTGCACGTCATAGCGACCAGTCAGACAGTGGGAAGGACACTTAGCATACTAGCCTTTTGCATATATAAATACTATGAGTCTTGGCTGGTATGGCTCACTTGGTTGAGCATAGTTCCATGCACCAAAAGGTCACCAGTTCAATTCAGGTTGTAATTCTATCCCCAGAAGGGATGTATATGGGATGCAGAAATTGATGTTTCTCTCTCATATCAATGTTTCTCTCTCTCTCCCTTCCTCTCTCTCTAAAATCAATACAAACATATTTCAAAAAAAGAGTAGGTACAGCCCTAGCCAGTTTTGCTCAGTGGATAGAGCATCAACCTGCGGACTAAAGGATCCTGGGTTCAAATTCAGTCAAGGGCCCATGCCCAGGTGGTGTGCTCAGTCCCCAGTGGGGAATTTGCTGGAGGCAGCAGCCGATCAATGATTCTCTCTCGTCATTGATGTTTCCATCTCTCTCTCCCTCTCCCTTCTCTGAAATTAATAAAAATATATATAAAAAATAAAATTTTAAATTACCCATTTTTTTAAAAAAGAATATGTTTAAAAAATACTATGAATAATTATATACCAATAAATTAGATTATCTGGAAGATGGATAACTTTTTAGAAATATACAGCCTTCCAAAACTTAGTAAAAAAGAAACAGAAAATCTGAACAGAATAATAACTACTAATAAAATCAAATCAGTAATCAAAAAACTCCAAATAAACAAAAGTCCAGGACTGAATGATGTCACAGGTGAATTTTACCAAACATTCAAAGAATACCTATCCTCATACTCCAAAAAATTGAGGGAAGACTCCCAATCTCATTTTATGAGACCAGCTTTACCCTTATTCCAAAACTAGACAAAGACATTACAAAAGAAAGAAAAATATAGACCAGTGGTCGGCAAACTCGTTAGTCAACAGAGCCAAATATCAACAGTACAATGACTGAAATTTCTTTTGAGAGCCAAATTTTTTAAACTTAAACTCTATAGGTAGGTACATTGTTATTAACGTAATTAGGGTGCTCCTAAGCTGGCCTTTGCTAAAAACATCCTCAGTCTGATTGAGGTACGTTCGCTGAGGTCAATCCCTTCCAACTCTCCCATCCACACTCATCTTGTATACTTGTTTCGTCTATCTGTCAACCGCGCGCGATATGCAGACATGAATAGCACTAACCACTGCACAATGAGACTGCTGACTGACTGGCTCACTCAACTTGTGCATGAGTCACACGCGCCTCCCAGGTGCTGCATATCCCGTGGCCCGCCTGCCTGCGCCGCGTCTTCTGTCGCCCGACCGACTTGACACCCCCCACTTCTTCTAATGCCACTTCTTCAAAATAGACTCGCCCAGGCCGAAAACCGACTTCTGCGCATGGGCCACGAAGTTTCAATCGCACTGTACATGCGCGCCTGCACGTGGTATTTTGTGGAAGAGCCACACTCAAGGGGCCAAAGAGCTGCATGTGGCTCGTGAGCCAAGGTTTGCCGACCACTGCTATAGACCAAAAGCCTGATGAACAGATGCAAAAATCCTCAAATATTGGTAAATTGAATCCAGTAGAATGTTAAAAAGATCACAAACCATGGTCAAGTGGGATTTATTCCTGAGATTTATTCCTGAGATTAGTTCAATATCCACAAATCAAATAACATGATACACCACATTTAAAAATGATGGGTGAAAATCATGTGATCATATCAATAGATGCAGAAAACGCATTCAACAAAATCTAGCATCAATCTGACTGGTTTTGCTCAGTAGTTGGTTGTCAACCCATGAACCAGAAGGTCACAGGTCAATTCCCGGTCAGGACACATGCCCAGGTTGCAGACTTGATCCCCAGTAGGCAGCTGAGATCCTCTCTTATCATTGATGTTCTATCTCTCTCTCTAAAACTAATAAAAACATTTTTTTAATCCAACATCCGTTTATGATAAAAACTCTCAGCAAAGCTGAAATAGCGGGGACTTACCTCAACATGATAAAAAGCATATGTGACAAGCCCACAGCTAACATGATACTCAACTGGAAAAAGCTGAAAGCATTTTCCTTATGATCAATGTACCTGTCCAATTTCCCAACACCATTTATTGAAGAGACTGTCCTTACTCCATTGTATGCTCTTGCCTCCGTTGTCAAATATTGAGTTGAATGGCTTGGATCGATTTCTGGATTCTCTGTTCTGTTCCATTAGTCTATATGCCTGTTCTTGTGCCAGTACCAGGCTGTTTTGAGTACAGTGGCTTTGTAGTATCTGGTATTGTGATTCCTCCAACTTTGTTCTTCTTTCTCAAGACTGCTGTGGCTATCCAAGGTCTTTTATTGTTTCCATATAAATTTTTGGAGCGTTTGTTCAAGATCTGTGAAATACGCCGTTGGTATTTTAATAGGGATTGTATTGAATCTATAGTGAGTCATCAGCTGTTAAAGTGTGTATACATTTTTTGGGAGACACCCTGGGTATACACACTTTTAATAATTATAAAGGCAGTGTTTATACTTCAACTGTATTTTCAAACTTCTAGTAGCATTTCAGGATGAATTTCCTTTATTCAAAGCTTAGTCTGGCTAAAAAGAAAGAAACATCAATTGAGCTACCAGCTGTTAAAATGTGTATACATGTTTTGGGGACACCCTGTAGATGAGAGGATTAGAGTACAGAATCAAAAATCCAGAAATAGATCTAACTATGAAGGAATTTCACACATGACAGGAATTTCTCATTCACCTAATCCAGCGGTTCTCAACCTGTGGGTTGCGACCACTTTGGGGGTAGAACAATGCTGGGGTCGAGCCCCAGCAGGTCCAGGGGTCCCCAAAGGTGTGGACGGAGAATGACACAGAGGCAGCGTTCAGGTGATCATCATAGCTGGGTTCTCTTGTCAGGGT